ACAAGTCAAACAACACACAAGTAGTGAGGTGCTTTCAACTGTGTGGGTTGCAGTTTGTGCAGACAGGGCACACAATCTCTCCAGCCCATTACATAAGCGTCAGCCATGAATTGCTTGTGAGGACTTGCAGGCTAAAAACTGTGGTGGATCAAATGTAGATAAGCTTTACTGGTATCAAAACCGGACACCCCCCCCATTTTTCCTTTCATTTATGACCACTATGGTGTTCCCTTCCATTCATAAAGTGTCTACTGTTTCCCGGCTCCTCCTTAGTGTTCGTTTTTTGCTGCTTCGTATATTTCCCAGTGCTAATCTCAGTCTTGAATCTATAATGCCACTGAGGATGTGTAATGTCATGATGAACTTGATTAATGATGCTTGGAAGCTTATGGCGATGCGGAACAGCCAAATCCTGTTTGTTTGGGGTTATACAGCCCTGAAATCTGTGAGTAGCTGGGGACAAGCCAAGGTTACATGACACCATCAGCAACTCCCCCAAGGACATTTATTTTTGCAAACATACACTGGAACCTAAGCAAGATTTTGTTCCAAATAAAAGCTTTTGGGGGCTTCAGAAAAAGAGAAGGAATAATGGCTTGCGATTATATGCCCTTTGGCACACACTAAAAAACAGCAACACAGCTCGGACAACTGGGGCATTTTGAAGGCTCGTTTGGAAATCCTAATACAAAACATGAAGTTGCTAAAAATGCAATCGGAATCTAATTGGACATGATTGACTAACCACAGAAGTTGTTAATAAATAATGGACATGATTCACAATAGTTTGATGGACAAAATAATTATTTCTCTATAAATATAGGAAGCAGCTGAAGAAATCACATCTTCAAATACAGAATGAATAAAACGCTGCAATAGAAGTTGTGTGTTTTCCAATTTGATTTGGCATGAGAACCCCCTGTTTTCTTTTAATATCCAACCCTTTTTCTTTCTTTCTTTCTTTCTTTCTTTCTTTCTTTCTTTCTTTCTTTCTTTCTTTCTTTCTTTCTTTCTTTCTTTCTTTCTTTGCATCTGATTGCCTGAGAGCTGTACACATGGGGCACAAAAATAAAAAGCAGGCCCTTCCAATTTCAATACAGTTTGGTTTTATTTCTCCAGTAAGACATTAAACAATTAAACAAATGTCAGTTGCTAAATCGTGTCTCACTGTCTTTTTCTCTCGCTCTCCTCCACTGAAACAATTGAATAACAAAGAAACGTATAAAAACACCATTGGGGCTTTGATTTTTTTTTAAAAGCCTGCCCAGCTAGGAGGATGCAAAGAAGTGCCACGGAAGGAGGGGAGCCATAATCCTACTCAACCTTTCCTACAGGATCCTTGGCTTTTGCTCATATTCCCCCCTTGCTATTCTGGACCTTTCTCCTATTTCTGTAAAACTCCTTTTCCTTAGCATTGTTTTGTTACATGTATAAAAGTGGCCTCTCAGAAATGTCTTTTAGGCATCTGTACATCATATAGAAAAGAAATAATAATACCATAACACATTGACTAGATCACCAAAATAAAATTCCCCATTCCTGACACACAAACCATACAGTTTGTACACGACAAGACAGTCAGCCTGCTCGAGGACAGCTTGAGCAAACAGGCCAGGAAGTTAACTGCCTGGAAGAAGAAGAAGAAGATGCTGAAAGTCCTATTTCTGCTGGAAGTATTGGCTCATACTCCGTGGAATTAAAGTTGGAAGGAAGGTGTTGAATGCCTTGGTTTTGAGCTGCATGGTGGTTTCCTCTGGACAGCAATCTTGTTGGATCCATACAAAATTTGGGAGGAGAGAAGGTCTTTTGAAAGCCATTGGTCAAATTAGAGGAGCAACATGCAGAGACTTGGGGATTTGGAAGAGGATGGAAAAAGGAGATCGGGACGGTGTGTGCAAGGGAGAACAGTAGGAAGGGGGGGACGACTAATTTTTGCACCATAGGATGAAGAGACAGTAGAAGCTGTGAGGTTTTAGGACCATTGGTGTGCTGATACCAGGACTGCTGAGATGGATTTCTACCATCATTCTACTTGTATAGCCTTTTCACCCACTGTTAGTGGGCTATCAAGTCATACCATGGCTTTTTGCATAAAATCAGCATTGACCCTCCTCACCACGCAAATGGCTTCATCTGGTCTGTTCCACTGCTGTTACTACATAGCGTGGAAGCTCAAGAATATTGCTACCATTTCCCTTCAGTACTCTCTACAAGCTGGGCTGTAGGAAATACCCTGTGTTTCCCTTCCATTACCTTTCCATCAGGGCTGTGCACTGACCCCAAGATTCCATTCAGACCTCCGTTCAATATGTTACCAAATCAATTCACTTCAGATTGATTCAGGCTGATTTGGGCCTCTTGATTCACAAATCCCATGCTACAGGACTTCAGTGGACTACACTAGAAATCAAGAACCGGAATAGCTTTTTTTTTTTTTTAATGTTTGATGTAATGTTGAGCTCCGTTTGACAGGATGAAGCCTGGCAAATTTCAGAGGAGCAGGTGCAGAATTATTTGTGTTAGGCAACATCAGATGTTGTCTTTTTAAAAGAAACAGCGATAGATACAAACTGCCGTTTTATTTCTTGGCAGAACTGGATGAAATTCCCTGCCATAATTGACCTTTCAGAGAGGAAAAAGCAAGCCATATTTCAGCTGAATAATTGCTAATTGCACCACTTTTGCGCAGGAGAAGCCTTTACATTTCTTTTTTAAAAAGAAAGGGATTTCTTATTCCCCTACATTTTTGTAGGCAATTATTATGAAAATGACATACATTATAGAAGCCATCTGAAAAATGCCCCCCCCTTTTCTTTTTGGTGGCCGGGAAATCCTTAGATTTGAAGAGAGCAACTTGATTCTGTTTTGTCACGTTGTTCCCCCCCCCCTTTTTGAGTGGGACAGTTTGTATGTATCATCAGTCACAGAATTATTTTTAGGCAAAAAAATCTACCAAAGAGCATATACAACAGTTAGGAATTTATGATTCACAGGAAAGAAAGTGCAACAGAACTGGGATGGATGATGACTGTGGAACACAGAGTTGCAAAGGTAGAAAGGATCTGAACCAGCAAGCATTTCCCATGCAGGCACTGAGTGGTCCATCTTCTCAAATCCCAGAGATTCCCACAAACCTCTTTTAACTTTCCTGCTGCTAGCAGGGAGAGGCAGCAAAAAGTGCAGAATACTGGAACAATCCTGTGTTATCTTTTACACCAACGTCCTTATCCAAACGACTGAAAGACTTAGTGAAACTATTCACTGGGATTAGAAACCGAAGCTGTCTGTCACAAAGCCTCATCACCTCCCCCATTGCACCCTGTTATTTCCCCTTATATAGAAAGCCAGGGGATGTATCATTTTTGAGCACCGAGCGTCTATATCCCCATGAATAACAAACAAAACTTTGCATATGTTCAGCTTCAGTTTGGCCCATTTCAGAGAAGTCCCATCTCCATTTGGACAGCTCTCAAAATTTTCCAGTTGGAGAACTAGATTTCGGCTTGGCCAATGTGATGCACTCCCCTAGCTTTCCCCTACCATCCAATACTTCATTTCAGCTAGAAAATGACAATTCCTCCCCATCCCCCAACCTGGCAGCACTTTCAAAAGAGTTTGGGCACGTACTCATCATCCTTAATATTCTTGGTTTGGGTGGAAGAACATTGGAAGAACATTGTCCTGACAATTAATGTGGACATTCTTCTTCAGAGAGATTTCTGAAGCTGAATCAGTGATGATTTCTTCTCAGAGGTCCCGCCTTAATGGATCCCTAGTGACACCTAGTGGATCTTTCTTACACTTGCATCTTCCTAGAGAGCAGAAGGGCTTAAAACTAGCTACTCTGGGTGACAGTGCCTCTCATACATCATTTCAAGGCCGGGCATCCACACTCAGTGAGGAATTACATGGGCCAGAAACAACAGCTACCACAGAACTACCTGTGACCAGCTTAACAGAATATTTGCTAGCTTTGTGTTTTGTAAGGAGTAAATTATAAGTCTATTTTATAGGCGGATTGAACAGAAGAACATAAGGGTGGTAAATGGGCTCTGAGCTGGCTTCTACCTAGTTTTCATCTCAGAAAAGTTTGTCAACAGGTAGTGGCAATGCTGCTTGGGTCAGATGCAGAAAAACAGCATTACAATTCATTCTTGCCTTTAGGGAGAACTGCTCCTTAGGGTAGTGGGATAGTTGATTTTGTTTATCATTTATAGTGCATTTGACTGATCTTTTGTAAAATTTGTATACTTGCTGTTTTAAGCTTTTAAATATTAATTTAATGATGCAAGCTGCTTTAGGTCCTTTTTAAGAAGAAAGGTAGGGTATGAACAAACAAATAAACAAAACAAACAAAAATAATGAATGTTGGCACTAGAGGCAGACAATCTGGGTGCTACATGCCATAGTAGTAAAAAAAAAAGTCACTGTTGAGCATTCAACATGAAGGGGTCTGACTCCGCTTGCCTAATGGTAGATGATGTCTTTAAGCCTCACAGACTAGTCTGTTTAGAAGTGTGTTACAGATCAGACCTTCAAGTGTGGGGAGTTGCTGCAGCAGCTGCAGCAGAGAAGAAAAGAGGAAGAGGCTGCCACAACCCTAAAAAAAAAGTCACTGTTGACCATTCAACATGAAAGGGTCTGACTCCGCTTGCCTAATGGTAGACAATGTCTTTAAACCTCACAGACTAGTCTGCTTAGAAGTGTGTTACAGATCAGACTGTCAAGTTTGGGGAGGAAATGGAGTTGCTGCAGCAGCTGCAGCATAGAAGAAAAGAGGAAGAGGCTACCACAACCCTTGGACCCCCCCCGTCACTGTTGACCATTCAACATGAAAGGGTCTGACTCCGCTTGCCTAATGGTAGACAATGTCTTTAAACCTCACAGACTAGTCTGCTTAGAAGTGTGTTACAGATCAGACTGTCAAGTTTGGGGAGGAAATGGAGTTGCTGCAGCAGCTGCAGCATAGAAGAAAAGAGGAAGAGGCTACCACAACCCTTGGACCCCCCCCCGCCCCGCTTTCTTGGAAAAAAACATTTTCCTAAAGGAATGTCCAAGCTTGTGCTCTTTTCTATACCACAAGCAACACCCGCCTGAACTGGCATTAGGTTAGTTAACACAGGGGATGGACGGTGCAATGTGATGAACGCACTTGAGTGTAGCAGGTTAACTTAAGGGGAGGACACAAAGCACACAACCAAGTGCACATCACATTGACCTCCAACTGGTTTCCGCTGCTCCCTCATATCTGAGGCAGCTGCCTCATGCCATCAGTGGTGGCACTGAATCTTTCAGAAAGGGCTGACTGCTCGGCTGTAGTAGGGCTATAAAGGAGTGACCGTTAAAGAGGCAAAAATGATAAGAGTTCTGGAGACCAAGTTCTGTGATAAAAAGGTGTCGGGTATATTTATTGGAGAAGATACGTTTAAGTGCCCACAGGATCACTGTCTTCAGATGTCTGGAAAATTATGTAGCTTGTGGAGTTATGGGAGGTTTTCAGACAGAACGAGGGTTATCTTTTGTTAAGGATGTTGCAACGCCCTTCCTGTCTAAGCAACAGGTGGCATAGAGTGGCCTTTGAGATCCCTTTCAGGTCTATGGGTGCTTTCAGATGAGTGGCTCCTAATGACGCCAATCAAAAAGCACTGGACGGATATTACATCTTTTCCTCCTTGCCAGATGCCCTGTGGTAAGAATAGAGTTGGAAAAAATTGTAAGGGAAGAAAAACAAGTGAGTTATAAATGGAATATACAGTACTGCTATCTCACTCTCCCAATAAATTATGTGAATGGGGCAGGATGATTGCATAACAAAATATTTCCTTGGAAGCACCCCCATGATTCAATCTGTGCAGTATTGACTTGCAAATGCCACCTGAGGACTGAATCACTCAACCAAGTATGACATACTGAAGCCGAAACAATCTGTATTTTACGTGAATTTAGCTCTACTGAGTGGCTGATGCAAAATGTTTCAGCATGGAGATGCCACCTCCTGTCACAAAGCTGCTTTGGATATCTAGCTAGGCATCATTTCCTGATCCTTGAACATGGCAAATAGATTTGATGAATCATTTTTCTTGAGAACTTGGAATGCTTCCCCCCCCACACCCCCACACCCAAAAGGCACTGCCAGTGGCAGCAGACGGGTCGTTATTAGGGTTGTCTTTGCTCCTTCTGCAAAAAGTAGCTCACTGCATGGTGTGTTCTTAGCAAGGTTGCTACTGGTAGCTTGCCAGAAAAATATAAGGGAACAGTCTATGTTTCTTGTGGTTACTTTTGATATTGTACCTTAAAAATACAAAATAAATAAATGAATAAATTAAAAAACAAAACCACACCTCTGGTGTTCTGAGCACCCATCACAGTCCCTGCATTATTGAAAAAGTCATGTTGACTTGGCTACATTAAAAGTTGTGTATACTAATCCTTGTTCTCCACTTGAAGGGAAAATATGTTTAGAGTATGTCAGAGATAGTAAGATGGGGTCAAGATAAGCCCTGGAATAAAGCAATGACCTCACATTTGTGCCAGTACAGATTGGAATGGATTGGGTGCTTATGACTGGTAGAATGGTAGCAACACTTGGTAGTATACAGTATTGTCAAAGTATATGTAGACTTAGGTTACATTAAGGGCTGCTGTTTTTGATAATTAGGAAAAAGCAGGCAGGATACTGTGCAGCAGCCAGGTCAAACACGGGGACCAGAAGGTCTCATTTTAGTCTGGATACACTGAGTGCTGATATGTTTTGGTGCCAAACTGAAAATGCTGGTTTGTTAATCTATTAAGCCTTATACAGTGTAAGACCCCAAAACTTGATTGTATACCTCTTTTGCCATGAACCTGTCCAAATCCTGAGATCAATAGCTGAGGCTTTCCTCCAAATATCTGCTCCAAGAGAGACTTGGAGGGTGGTGGCAAAGGAGGTGGCATTCAGAATGTGTTTCCTCCCAATGTAAAGCTCTCCCCAGTGAGGCCCATCTGGTCCAGATGTTATTCTCTTTTTGGCACCAGGTCCAGACATACAGTATATCTATTCCTGAGCATCTGATGGCATGTGGCTGTCTAACCTAAACACCAGCTCTGTGTCAGTAGACAATCCCTATTATTAGTTTGGTGAGGGAGTATTGCTGTATCATATATATTAAAAACATTTGTATATTTCAATTGTAAGATGTCCTTTTTTAGCTTTTTAAGAAGGCGGCATCCATGAAATGCAATAAAGAAATAATAATAAACGGGTAAGTTAGGCCCATCTCTAACAAGACATTAACAGCAGTCACCTTACATTATGCAACCCTAGAATATTGCAGGGTGTCCAGCATGTCTCTCCTGCTCTGTCACAGAAATGCTTAGGTTTCCCCTCCTCCTGCTGTTGCTGCTCCCTATTGCTGTAGACCTATGTATCACAAAGCATGCAGGAGGAAATGGCCTTTTTCGCCTCGCTTTGTTCTCTCTGCCTTCTGATCCAAAGCTCTTAATTCTTGGCTCCTCCACTTTATCCTACATGCTCCTCTTTATTCCACATGGAGTAATCTCTCCATCCATTCCTGCTGGGCTGTCAATCAAAGCCCCACAGAGAAACAATTTCTCTAGGGCTCAAAGAAAACGTGACACACAAATGCCCTGCACGCAAAGTTACAGCGCACACACATATATATACACACACACACACAAAATACACCCAGGGAGGCTGGGGACCACCACGGCTCTTCTCCCCTTTGCTGAGAGGCCTGGCTAGAACAAAGGTCTAGCCAGCAGGATTATTTATATTATTACTCTTAATAAGTTTTATTGAATTATATAACGAAACAACCTCATGGAAACAAAGCAAGTGATCTCCTTGCCCTCCCCCCTCAGGCCTGTGTGCAGCCACCAGTGCAGGCTAGCATTCTCGCACAGAGTCATGCGTGCCGTCCCAAGGGGCCTTTGGCTGGAAGAACTCATAGAAAGTCTTGTATGGCGGTTGCAGACCCCTCTCTTCCCATCATGCCAGTGCCAGCTCTACACTGTGAACCCAAACAAATCAGTGCCAGTGAGGCCACTTTCAGCTGGAGGGCCAGTCAGCTCTGGTCTCTTGCTCTCTCTCTTGCTCTTTTTCTCCCTCTTGTTCTTTCTACATAAGGAGTCTTAAGGAAAGGCTAAAGTTGGAGGTTAGGTGGTAACAATGCTCGTGAGGGTGCTGAACCAGCACGCTGGACACCAACATCACTTTTCCAGAGTTTTGAGTACATGTTTCAGGTTCACTCCCCTTTTTTTAGCCTGTGGTCATTCCAAAGCTTTTCTTCCACCCCAGAGGGTGCAACTGTTGTGCATAAAGTAGTGAGAGTGTGGCCAATAAATGTTGACTTGGTCTACTGAAACCCAGAGCAAGTCCTCAATGTCTGCCTTTCAAGCCTTCAGCTGGTGCCACTGTGCCACGGCCTGCCGGGGGTGTGCAATCATATCCTTCCAGTGCTTCACTTCACCAGGGCCACTCTTCCATGACAGGTAGATCTAGCAAGGACAGGGAAACAAATCATGCAGGTCAGAATGTAGGCAAGCTAAAACCTTCTTTACAGATCTTTCTTGCCCTCCTCCCTATTCAACAGAAATCTTCCAACCACAACCCTTTTCTGGGCTTTCTTTCTACATTGCATGCTGACTCTACTCAGTCTCCTCAGTCTTTGCATCATTCCCAAGTTTAAAGATGCAAGCACACAGCAAGGGAAATGCAAATCCACTTTCTTTCATTCACTGTGAAATTGCACAAGGGAATTTGGGTCCCCCCTGGGTCTCTCTGCATTGACTGGCCACACAGGCAGAGAGAACAGCCTTGTTTACAGCTTGTTTGAGGTTCTATTGATAGCCCTGTAGCTGGTGCCATTACGAAGAAACAACCCAATAAATCGTAAACAAGCTACCCTTCCTCATTCCTTCATATTTGTTAAAAAGAAAATGTTTGCCAATGGATAGAAGCTTTCCTCTCTGTTCTTAAGCTGCAAAAAAGGAGCTGAGTCTTGAGAAAGGAGAAGCTGTTAAAAAAGAAAGAGGAGTCTTTCTGACAGACAGAAGAGAAGCTGTAAGTGTGCGCTGGCAGGTGGAGTTGGAGGTGGCTTTTCTGCATCACAAAACAAGTGCAAATAAATCTGTTTTTAAAGAGTAGTAGCTCCAGTAGTGGAGGCAAAAACTACAAACAAAGGGGGAACTCCAAGCTGATTTACATCTCCTTTTGCATTGTGTGGTCAAAGGGGGGAAAAAAGTAAACCATCCCATCCCAACCCTAGAACATTTCATGTGATTTTTATCAATGTAGTTGACCCCTAACTCTAACATTTCTAGTTCCCTATTTATCCGTTTATACCTTTCTAATCCCCACTTTTCCCAACCTGCACTTCTCTCTTTGTTGTTTCAGACTTTCAAAAATCACTTCCTCATACTACTACAACTCCAAAAATCCTCTAGTCAGCATAGCAATAACCATTTTGGCAGGAGATGCTGGGAGTTGTAGTTGAAACAAGTAATTTTCTCAAGCTCTGCATTGCTGCCTCGCAACCACCACATCCCTGACACCCATTAGTTTGGTTTCTGCACATTGTATTTAGGATGCTCTAATAAGGACGACATGGGTGCTGTGGCTACTTTTTTGTATGTCTGCATCCTGTTCCTATAAAAATTGGGTGTATCTGTATCTGACTTTTGTTGCAATAGAGCACCAATGCATGCAACAACTGATTTCAACCTGTGGATATTGGGAGGAATAATAGGCAAACAGATAGCCTAAGTGTGTTTTCTTTCCTTGTCTTTTCTAGAACCATGTGCAGACTGGGACATATAGACATCCTTTCTTCTTTGAAGTGTCTTCCTATTTCTTCTTGTTCTTCTGTCTTAGCTACACAGATGCACATTTAAAAGCCAGATATAGGAGTTTTTACAATCAAGTAAGTGTTCCATAAATAGACTCCCTAAGTAATAAAACATAACATTTCTTTTTTGTTTTACTAGCAATCTCCTGAATGATTTAACAATCTCAGCATTTGGCTGCTGCACTCTACCAGTGAATAACAAGTAATCCTAACAATTTTCACATTTAAAAAAGGATGTGTAGGTGAGCAGGATTGAATCCATCACCTTCTGAGTTGTCATACCAGCTACTTTCTTGCCTTGGCTAGAGTGCCTGAAGAGAGCCAGGTTGGGGGAAATAGCCCCCAGGCCATGGAAAGGCACATGGGCAGGGGCAGTTTCTGCACCTTTGAACTGCATGTCCCATCTGACATTAAAACAAGGCCTTCCTGGTTTGTAGGGCAGAATCATGACTGACAAAATGTGTGTGTGCAGACGAATGCCTTTTCAGTGATTCACTATAGGATGCTGGGGTCTCCCCCCCCCCAAAAGTCTACTTTGGTTTCCCTTTTCTTGTTGGAATGGTGGTGTCATTGACAAAGCTCACAGCGGATACTCTTCTGCTTCTCTTTTTCATGTGTTCTCTGGACTAGAGATGGAGAAAATGTTTGAGGGTACTCCTTCCATTCTCTTTCTCCCCTCATCACCTGAGATCCAAAAACTTACAAACAGTGGCATGGAGCTGGACAAGGATTTATTTGGAAGGGCCCAGAGCAGTGGGTAGTTTGGGCACCCATCTGTGTTCCTTTGTCTGGGCACATACCAGGTTGAGGGACTGGGGAATATTCCTACTATACAGAAGCATGTCTACACAACATATGCATATATTGTACACATGTATGGGTGGGCATGCCTATAGATTTTTCTTGGCAGTGTGAGACAAAGGTCAACTATTTACTGCCTCCATTTTAGACTTAACTAGAAGAGGAAAGAAACTTTGTTCTCTCTTGCATGTTGAACCATAGGCTGAACCATGTATGGAAAATGGTGGCTAGAGACTGAAAAATGCAAGTGAACTGGATGGGTTTATTTCTCTGGACAAACAAGGGTTAGTTCCACTCAGGCACCTCCCTGGAGCTTTCCTGAGTGCAATCACTCCCAACAATTGCCACAATGCTGAAAGTGGCTTGTGTATCTTGGTGCCTTGCCTGTTCACACAGTTCTGTTCCTATGACCTACCTATGCACAACTGGTGATGATTGTGTTGAATAAAGGATGGAGGAGATGCTTGTATAAATGGCTCCCGGGGCTCCCTGGCATGCAACATGTCATGCCACGGCAACATGCTGATTGTTTGCCAAGTGTTCTGTGCTGCCAATCATCTATAACGTTGGCAAAGAAAAGGACAAAAAGTCCAGTGCTGTGTCAGATAAGATTTTATGACTCTTTATATACACTGATTTGTTTCAGAATACCTTTCCCTTCTCTGCAAGTTTGAAATGTAGGATGCCATAACTAGAGAGCCAATGTACTGTTAATTCCTACTACTTGTCTTGTTGACACATGGGAATCTCTCAGCCAAAAAATCTCTCTCACTATCTTTTATAGGTTGGATAGTTCATCAAGCTGGAATACCCGGGACTGAGAGTTCAATTCTTTACAGTGCCTTGTAGAAGGAGAGCCAGAGTGTGCGGTCTTGGGCAAACTGTGGAGTCCCAGAGTGGCTCCAGAAGAACGGAATGGCACAGCACTTCTGAGTACCTTCTACCCAGGAAATCCTAGTTAACTTGATGGCATTCTGTATAATTGTTATGATAGGTGTGTTTATTCAGCTCTAAATGTTTCCGTTTTCCCACAGGATTTTATTATATTTTTGAAGGAATTTTTTTTTAATATGAAGAAACACACATGATGACGTTACCTGGTACATTGGTTTGAGAACACACTGGTATTCTGGTGACAGAGCTCATGGGGTCAAAGCTCCAGGACCTTCCCATGAGCATGGATAATCATATCATTTGCTATCCACCACAGGCTCCCCTGTTGCCCATGAGCTGCAGTTGTGTGAGTGTGTGTGTAGATTTCTCCAGCAACAAAATAATGTTATGAGTCATCTCCAAATATATTGGGTTGGCTTGATGGTGAAGGGTTGAGTAAGGCTCAAGAGCTTTACAAAACACATATATAATACATATATAAGAGCTTTACAAAACACATATATAATACATATATAAGAGCTTTACAAAACACATATATAATACATATCTGTACTATAGGGCAGTGGTCCCCAACCTTGGGCCTCCAGAAGCCTTCACCACTATCTCTGCTGGCCAGGATTTCTGGGAGTTGAAGTCCAAGAACATCTGGAGGCCCAAGGTTGGGGACCACTGCTATAGGGAATTGTTACTCCTGCACTTTCACATATGCCACTGGTGAAATGACCCTAAGCTAGTGTCCATTCAAGATAGAAAGAGGACTTTTTCTATTTTCATCCCTGGAGATAAGATATCGGAACCTTCATTTCCTTGAGAAGACCAGCCTCTGAGAAGAGAGAACAAAGGGAGACAGAATCCAGGGAAGTGGCTGATCAGGGTTGCCTTGGGGTGGGTCAGGGGGAAAGAGGGCCCTAGACCACTGGTTCTTAACCTTGGGTTACTCAGGAGTTTTGGACTGCAACTCCCAGAAGCCTTCACCACCAGCTGTCCTGACTGGGGTTTCTGGGAGTTGCAGTTCAAAAGCATCCGAGTAACAAAGGTTAAGAACCACTGCCCTAGAGAATGGGCAGGAAACTGAGAAACCCCCAGTGATGAGGCCAGATAGATATTTCTGAATACTGCAGGGCCTGACATTTTAGGGAAAGACATCCCCCAATTACACTAATTGTTGGTGACATATTTGAGAGCACAACCTAATCCATCTGACTGGAAAATGCAATCACACAACTACGAAGTAGAAAAGCCCCCCTGTACTCCAGCCTAGGCACAGGGCTTCTTGCAGGCAGAAATTGACTCTCATTAAACTGCCTTGAGCTTCACATCTGCCAGCATGAAACTCACACAGTGAGGCCCCATTTGATAGAGCTTTTCACCCACACCAGCTGCCACCCTTCATTCCTCTTCTGCTGAACAAATGTGTTGGAGGTGTCAAAATTAGTTATATGGCAATGCAAACAAGTGCTAATCCCTCTGGTAGCTCTGGATATTTTTATCCACTGGCTTTTCTATATTGCTGCACGGAGGGTGCATGTGTCAGCTTCTCCCACGCAGTGACAGCCAAGACTTGTCTTCCAGATTCTCTGATAGAGCCTCATGACTCTCACTCAAAGAGATGTGACTTCATAATTTGATTGGAGGCTGCACATTAATAGCACTTATTCAGTCGCTCATTATTATCACGTTGCTGTAGCAGAGGCAGAGGCTGAACCTTTGGCTGCAGTTGCCTCAAACTTCTTGGCAGGTGTTTCTCTTGGTTCTGTATCTGCTTGCTGCTCTTATCCATTTAGGGGCCAATGGGCTGCATTGGGAATGAGGGACATGTGACTGTCCAGATGCTGTTGGACTGATTCTCCTAACACCTTTCACCAAGGACTATGCTGGCTAGGGCTTATGGGAGCTGTAGTCTGACAACATCTGAGGGATCATAACACTTCAGATTCCTGAGCAACATAACTGCTT